GGACGTTCACACTATGCACACTGCCTGCCCCTTTTGCTAGCGTGGAACGGTTCAGGTGTGCGTGCCCGTGACAGAGCTCGGCACAATATGGCATGCTCGAAACAATCATACCCCGCCACAATGCAACCCCAACAGAATTGCAGGAACCATAAAGACACCTGTTGGGAACACCCCCTTTATCCCTCATCGGCACTTGCTCATCCAAATGGCATAAGCAGGTGCGGTTTTGCACCCTGGCGGAGTAGCAGCCGTCCTGAACTGGACAAGCTACCGTATCTCAAACCAGACAAGCAGTGCTGATGAAACCAATGCAAATCCCTGTTGGACCATGGGAATGATGACATCTGTTTGTCATGACATGTGGGACAGTGCAGGATTTCATCCAACAGCATTTTCGGGCGCAGGCAGGTGCGGTCTTGCTGACGGAGCATTGATACAGATTGGATCACAAGCCTATTCTCTCGGCCACTCCGTGATGGACAAACATGGAAAACGAGTTGGCAAAAAGGTTTTGGACAACTTCCTTCAGCTTCGATTGAGTTTATTTCAAGGGCTTGTCAGTCAGGAACATAACCGCATCATAGTACTTAGCCATTTTGGGGTGCTCTATGTACGTGCTCTCCAAATCTGCAGGAAACGAGGTTGTCAAATGACAAACTGACACGTGGGAGAGAGAATATAGGGAATATTGGAATGTCCCAGTTCAACTGAAAGGTGACGAAAAGGGAACTGGAAGCTCTTCACCATCAAGCACACACACAAACAACAAGAACAAAGCAGTGATTGCCAAAAAACTTGTCGCCGTCACATCTCACACCAAGCATCCTCCATGTCAATCACACGCTGGAGCAGTGCTCTTTTGCCCTCTGACTCTGGCAGGAACCATTCGATCCGCTCGGGCTTCGCAGCGAAGGACTCCGTTGCGATCAGGTCGGGTGGCAGCTCATGCTGGGCAAAGTGAGTGCAGGGTTTCCCGATCCTCGGAGATGGGGGGTGAATGTCCTGGGGCCTGTGACCACAAACCAGATATCCCCCTGTAGCAGGGGTCGAACTTGAAGACCCTTCAAACTTCAAACCCAAGGGTTTTCAGGGTTGTGAGGGACAACTGTCCAGCAACTCACATAGAAAACTGGTAGACTACACATTGGTTCAGGAAGATACGATCCTCCAAACTCCCTAAACGATTAAACTGATACAGTAGATTCCGGGCAAGATTGGCACCTCCCGACGGTGCCGCGGGGTCTTGGTTGTCTGGTGGCATGTGGAAACATCCAGAAGTGGACCGGTATATAATTAATACTATATGTCACATATATATATATGTTTTTTTCTATATATATATATACATTTATATGTGGTACCAAAGTTTCTGGAGCATCCTCATTTCAATGCACAACAAATTCTGAAGCAACTCCAATGATCCATGTTCTGAAGGTAGCTTCGTCTCCAAAGTATGTACCTCAGACTCCACACACAAGCACACCACAACCTGGAGACCATGACCTAGCGCACAACATTCAACCATCACTACCACAATGTCGATCACAATGTGTTGGGCGTTATCAGTTTTTGGAAGCAACACCAAGTTGCATGTTGCCTTATCATCAGCTGAGACTTCCTGGCGAAACCTCGGGCCACCAATGATCCGGTTGTATCTCAGGTAGTCATTCTGAATGGGCGCTGGCTTCTGATAGCCCGGGTACAACCTGCCCGCAGCCACACTGTACTCCAGTCATGTCAAAAGAATTCCCCATCGCATACCCATCAAGGTCACCAATTCCCCTCAAGGCCTTCAATTAGGGGAGAAGAATGGAGAACTTCAATCAATATCATCCTTAAGATGTACACAGTAACTCTAATTATATAACGTGATCAAAAAAATAATTACAAACATAGATCTGAGTTTCATAATGATAAGTCAAAAACGATCAATGGCAACCATCAAAGCCAACAAAACGGAGATGAAGTGCAAATTGACACGTATACGATGGTAAACGTCGGGATTGGCCCTCTCCTACCTTGGCTCACAACTGGACCTGGGGTGAAACGGTGAATCCTTCGGTGATGTCACCGTCATCGGTGGAAGTCCGGTCACAGCGGATGGTCTACCGCTGATTTCCACTACTTACAGTGCATGGCAAAAGCGCGACGAAGCTCTGAGAGACGGATGGGCGCCCAAAGCGGCGTTGTGAAGTGCCAACAAGAGGACATGAAATGCAGCTATTCGAGGACATGCACACGGCCAATTGTGCCCAAACACCATTGGGTGGGCAAGTCTGAGACGTTGTAGCCATCAGGCACCACAGATTCCAAACCCTCGGAATAGGTATAAGGCACATCAGGAAAGAGCAAGGGTATCATACCTTGGCTGCTCACGTCGAAAACAAGTAACACACCCTAGTAGCGCTCAGGAGTTTGTCCATGTGTGTTCCATGTGCAGTTTGACGTCGTTGGGTCGGTACACACATGGTGAACATATTTTTCTTCATGTCAGACGAGCGTTTGACAAGGGAAGCATGAAATTTCATGAGGGGTCGCAGGCAACAAAAGGTTTCCATGAGAAGTCATAGCACCCAGCCGTGTCCAAGACCAGAAGTCTGAGAAGTCATTCCTCAGCTGGCGCGAGAAGTTGGTGCGCGGTTCCTTCTCCGTAGCAAAAGGATCAACCCAGTGATATGTCCTTCTCATTCTCCTCCACCTATACCAAGTATGAATCCAGGCTGATGCAACTTTGCGACTGGAAGAATTGCTTAAAGTCAGTGGAGCAGAACCGGGGCAACTGCTGACGGCACTGATGTCTCATTTCCGCCACCGGCTTTAACTCCCTTCCTATGAAGATTGAGCCCCTTGAGTAGCAATGGTCCACTTAGCCAGTGCATGCTGGGACGGAGGCCCACATATTCTTTTCATAATCCAAACATGTTCAATTCAACGCACCTTCAAGTGGCCACCAACATTGCACCATGTCAGGGGGCAAAAGGCAGTACGCAAAACATGGTCCTTACTCTATTATCTCACCTGTTCTTGCAGGGAAGCTTCACGTCATTGACATTCTTGTTCCCGAAGTAGCCCTCAAATGCAAAGTTGGCATTTTCGATGATGTCGGTCTCGATTGAGTTCTCCACGCTCATTACGACATCCTGCCCTAGGTATCCCAAGGCAAACAGCGCAAAAGCCGCCAAGAAAGCCACGGAGAAGGGCAGCTCCAAACAAGCCGCTTCCTTCGAAAGCTCCTCTTTGATCCAGTGAGCATAAATACCTCATACTCCAATTGGGATGCGACACAAAAGTAGTGCCGAACAAATCGCATAGTTTATCATAGTTTGTCTTTGCAGCTTGCTGGGTTGTCTATTTTGCTCATGGTCTTAGGCTGTTTTGGTTACTTTCTATGTAAATGAGTTCAATCATACTGTCATCATGATCATCATGACCCATGAGAAGCACACGGTAGTTTGATAGACTAAGGTCCAAAAACAGGGTTGACAGCTCTGGCAGGGTTGAAATACTGTAACACTACGTGGCATCATGAGCAAACGACAAACAACCTCACTTGCGGGTGCCGGCCCCGGCGCCACTGCTGATTTTTCACCAATTGCCAAAATGCTCTCTGCCACTCCATTTTCTTCCAGGGATTCTTCTGATGCAACGGCTTTCTTGTTGTAAAAGCTATTGACCTTGCTTCGTCAGCAGCACAGGTCAGATACCGGAGTGGGTGACAGGTGTGGCGCGAGTTTGGCTGCTCCACTCTGCTCATCGATACACTAAAATCTGCGCCGTATAACTCTACCTCTATGCTCAAAAGTCCTTGAACCCACATGATTCTGCCCCACGTGGGGCATTTCTAAGCCCAAAACGCACTTTGCTCCCACATTCTTCGGGATCTCCTACCTACTCCACTGGAGTTGTGCGTTTCTTCTGTCCAAGTGCTACCCCCAGCCGCATGGGGAGGCTAGACAGAAGCGTTCATCGGTCCTCTAGCAAAGACTTCTTTCACTTGCAAGTCCAACCTGTCTGTCCTGCCGACGCCAAATGCCAAACAAAGCCCCAACAGAAACACCATGGCCATTCATGGCTCAAACGCCCAGCTCGAAGTCTGAGTTTGGCCTCCCTTACATCCGTCAAAACTGTTCTGTTCCAAGGTGGATTCTTGCTTGGGCTGTTTCTTCCCGCCATCTCAGCCGTGCGACCCATTTGGGATCCTCAAGCAACTTTGGCTCAAAGGGTGATGGCACTTCACGATGTAGCTCGAGGGATGCCATGGCTCGCGTACCACGACCCAGCTGCAAAATGACTTGTCTTGAGTCTTAAGGTGCTGGGTTTGTCTTCAGCCGTGGGCGGCCAGGCTCCCCAAGTTGTTGGTCTTGTCTTCTTTTGGAGGCTTCAGAAATGGCAATCACATTGGTACGCCTGTGGATACCGTCAGGTGAACCTGCGGGCCTCGGTCAGAAAACAGTAGCAATCAGTGCTCTTCGTGCGGTACTTCGACCAATATGGAGGCATGACATCTCCAGTGCTCTTTCTTGCTAGCTGGGGCGCCATCTCATAGCACCTCAAGGGCTCTGTCCCTCGAAAGTTTTGCCCCTCCTGTCCTACCAAACTCGAGCCAAACCGCCACAAATTGAATGCACGTCTGACGAATTTCATCCCTCTTGCCCTCCATCCTCAGAGAGCTTTGGGTGGAATATCGTAAAAGCCACACTCTCTGGATGGCTGTTTTCAAGAACCAGCCCGTTGACATGGACAACGAACTAGTCAGCAAGCTGCAGCTAAATACCTGGCGATCTGCAACCTAGCTGACACAGCTGTTGCATGGCATAATATAAACGTGCCATGTATAGTTGTCAATTGGGCCTATAAAAGACGTGTTCAAAAACAAACACTCCACCGGTGCTTGGTTCGTTTCTTGATGGAGGAGCTTTGTGCTCCAACCCCTCCACACTGCTTTGACCAACGCCCGCACGTGCGACAGAGACGGCGCTGCTCTGTCCCTCCACGCGCGCCTGCGTGAGCAGCCTGGGCGCGCGCAGGTCCCGGGCCTCTAACTTCGAAGGCGCCTGGGCGAGGCATCCGGAACGAGGTGGCGAGGTATGGCGAGGTCGACCACGGAAAGGAAACGGAGGATGATGAGACTATAGCTATAATATCTATAGCTCATATATGATATGCTCATATATCACATATCCGAATCATATCCAATCATAGACCGATAGATCATCCCCATCCTTATCACTTGGATCTCTTTTTGGTATCTGATGACAAGGATCTGGTCTCCAATAATTATAAAGATACTTGTGCAGCTTGTGCATACCATCCGCACGGGTGGCTCGGTCTCTCCTTCATCTGGACGGGCTCCCCGACTTTTGGCTCCCGCATCGCCGCATCGGGTCTGTTGTCGCGGAGCGTGGCGAGACGGGGGCGAAGATGCTGGGCCTGGCAACGGTGAGGTCAGTCGACCTCCAAGAGAATCTGTGTGATTTGATGTCTTTGTCAAGCATGTTCAAGAGCCCATTCTATGCCGTGGAAGGGCTTGGGATTCAGGACGGCCATCCAGCTTTAGGGTGTTTAAAACATCTTGGTCAACAGTCAGAACAACGGGAATGGGGGGTCGTCACCTGGTCATGAGCGTTATGAATCTGGCCTTGGAACATGGGCCCCTTGAACTAGACCGACCATCTTCCTCGACAGTTTTGGGGCCATTCTCCCCGTCAATGAGCAGGAGGGTAAACTTTGCATGAGAATTTGTCCACAATTCTTCGGGCCAAAAACCGGGGAAGTGGTTTTCCGAGGCATCCCCATCCAATGTTGGGCTATTACTAAGTTATCGTGCCGGTAGTCGTTCAGGCACGCTCACACATGGCCACAATTAAGAAGTATAGTAAGTGACAAACATAGGTTATACAGTATGTGTTTTGGTTGTTTTTGTTTTTTGTTTTTAGTGAACCCCTTGTTGTTCTACAGGTGTTTTGAGCACTTCTCCCCCCAAAAGAAAAGAACAACACAACATGCAACAGAACAACACTAATTAACGGACCTTTTATGGTTGTATAGTCTTCTCATGTTTTTCTTTCATCATGCACCGCTGATCTCGGCACCAACCGTGCCCGGGCTGCAGAGCTGCGCCCAGCCTTGGAGGTGGTGAAGTTCACCAACTCGGGATGCCTTTTTGGAGGCTGCGCTACGCAAACTTGAACGTAGACCACACAAATGGTTCACTTGGGAATATCTTGCAAGTATTACTTGCACGTACTGTTCACTGTACATATTGACACTGACAGTTTCAAACGTATTGTATTTGGTCGACGCCATGTCGTTCTCCATGTGCAATCTACTTTACTTCAAACCATCTGGTCCAAATGATCTAAACTCAAACACCCAGTTACACTGACAGTTGCATTATACAGTACTTGGATACCTGCTATTCACACCATAGCCAAGTCGAAGGAATCCCCTCTGTTTGTCCTCTGTCTGCCGCACGATGAGGGCCCTCACGGCAGCTTGCGCCGAAGGATGGTTGACCGTAGGATCACCTGCAATTCACATGGGTTTGCGTCCTTGAGCCCCTACGCGCGCTGCAGTTCTTCTGTGAAATTGATTTCACGCAAACATGATAGGGACTCGAGATCTCAAATGATTCAGATTTATAAATATAAATAACTATATATTAGTCTAGAGTTTAGGATTCTCTGCAACCCATACCACTTTCAAGAGAGGAACTGCACTAAAGCCTGTTTTAATGTATGACCTCCTGCTCACTATCCCAAACCCTGGCTTTGGTGATGGATCAGCATGATTGTTCCTACATAGAGTGCCGAATGGGCCCATCACAGCCAACCAACTATCAACATGCAAATTGAACTGGACCAAACAAAGCCGCAAGGTAATCACCCGGTTCACCAACAGCCTGGCCATTGCAGTCATTGGTTGTTTCTTTTCGACCTGAGGCCATTTTGGGGCTCCTGGCGCGATCTAGATCGGTCGGAACCCTTGTTCAAACCCCATCTTTGCTTTCACCTTCTGACAAGCATGCATGGCATGGATGTCTGATGTGTGGACACAGTTCTATCTAACAGCAGAATACGCAGTATTGATGCGAAACGGCACTCTTGCGAAACACCACAGGTCAGGCGCGTCTGTCCTACTGCGTGCCGCCAAAGGAGCCTCATTCAATATGCCGGGGGTTGACTGAGATTGGTCGCCAACAAATTGTCCGCAACTACGTTTTCCTAAGGCAGGAAGAGCTCAACTGCTGACATACTGTGGGTGCTGCCGGCCTACTATGATCTACTATGTGACCAGTGGAATAATGCAAGCCTGAACACAAATCACGCACAGTCACCGGCAAAAAGGAAAATATTATTTCTGGGGCACTGATGGTCCTGACGCCGTCAAGAATCGTTTCAGCACATTTACTGTGACCCTCCAAGCCCTGAAGTTGCCTAGGCTGGGTTGGTTCTTTTGTGAAAACAACTCTACTTCGAGTGATCACCACCTCGAAAGGCGATTTGGAGAAGGCAGGGCCAATGTATCGACAGACTAGCGATTAGCCTGACAAAGGTGCGCCCACTGCGATCTGAGGCTTTCCGTTGAGGCCCGGGGGTGCCCACTGCGATCTGGCGCTTGCTGTTGAGGCCCGGGGGTGCCCACTGCGATCTGACGCTTGCTGTTGAGGCCCGAGGGCTCCCACTGCGATCTGGCGCTTGCTGTTGAGGTCCGCGAGTGCCCACTGCGATCTGGTGCTTGCTGTTGAGGTCCGCGAGTGCCCACTGCGATCTGGTGCTTGCCGTTGAGGTCCGCGAGTGCCCACTGCGATCTGGCGCTTGCTGTTGAGGTCCGGGGGTTCCCACTGCGATCTGGTGCTTGCTGTTGAGGTCCTCGAGTGCCCACTGCGATCTGGCGCTTGCTGTTGAGGTCCGGGAGTGCCCACTGTGATCTGGAGTTCGCTGTTGTGAGGTGAGGAGAAGGAGGAGAATGAGGAGAAGGAGTCGCGGCATTCTCTTCTAAAATCTAACAACCCTGCAAAACGGGCTGTTTCAGGTTGATAAACTACGACACCACACAAACAACACCAAACATGCAAAGAATGCACTGGAAATGATCTTCTGAAAGAAACATGGACACTGTCAGCTGGGGATTGCGATAATTAATGACTTTCCTACCATGGGGTCACCGATGCCACTTTCTTCCAGTGATTTCTTGCAAAGGTTTCTGTGGTGTGGGTAAAACAGCCAAGAGCCGTCAAAGTCTATAATGCGCTCTTAGATGTGTCTGGAGGTCCTTATCCCAGCCACCTTGGCATCAGCCTCCGGCTTCAGAAGTTCCATGGTTCGGCGCTTCTTCTCCAGGCGATTCCTCTCCTGGGCCACTGTAACAGCTAGTCTGCTTCGGCCATGCCATGCACACCCTTAAATTACATAAGCCATTAATTACTATTTGTTCACGTGTGGGGTTTTTGTTTTTAGTCTGGTATCCGCTCCGTCCCCTCCTCCCGCCTCCCGTCATCAACACACTCACATACACTCATCAACCAACCGATTGTCATCAACCAACTGCCACCCCAAATTGAAACCAACTAGCTGTCACCAACCAATTGTCATCAACCGATTGTCACCGACCAATTGTCATCAACCGAATGTCACCAACCAATTGTCATCAACCGATTGTCATCAACCAATGGGTCGGATGTACGCCCCGGTGCTGCCCGGTGCTGCTGGGTCTCCGCCGCTGCGCCGCTGTGATTTGTGTAGCATTTGTCTGTGCTGCTGTGATTTGTGTGGCAGGCGCAGGAGGTCGGATGCACGCCCTCGGTGTCACCAACCAATTGCCACCCACCAACCACCAATTGTCCGCTCCTGTGTCTGGTGAAGTTGGTAACATGTGGGGTTATCCGGTCCTATAGTTTGATAATGTAATGTTGTATATATACATACATACACTTATATGAGAACAGTAATTACTAACAATCTGATTTACAGTAATACGTATATACATATATTTATAAACTATATATGTATGACTTATGATTTATTAACTACATAGACTATATAATTCTATATTGAAGGCTAAATGGAGGGTGTGTGGAGAAAGGGGGTCAGCAAAACTCGCTTAAACAAAGCTAGTGCATCAAAAATACCTTCCACGAAGTTCTGCGAAGTTTTCTGGGATTTTGTTGCAGTCAGTTTTCCTACTGGCCCACCATTCCACGAAACATCCACGAATAGCCCCGGGTTCCACGAATGTCCCGCGCCTTCCGCGATGTTGGTAGAATAGGTGTTTGCAAAACTCTTTCTGTGCACCACCCTTCCGTGTTTATATATATATATACACACGCTCTTTCTCTTTGATGACCATTTCTTTGATCATGGAAACTTGCATTTCCATGCCGCATGCCTTTCCAACATGCGGGGCCATGTTCAAAGCCACTACGCAACGAACAAATCAGGAGTTGCGCGAACCCTACCAAAGCATCGTCATCAAGTAACATCGCTGAAATGGGATTTCGCTGTATGGCTAACGTGCTGGATTTTGCCCTCCGGGAGGGGAATGATTTCGTTTGATGCTTCCGAACGAGATTGATTCGGAACCTGCGCGTGTTTCTGCGTGTTTCAAAGGGCGTCGAGGGGAATCATGGATGATTGTCCAACATCCCCCTTGATTGTTCATAGGTGAACAACCAATTAATTAGTTGTAAAATGACATCCGTAGGTCATGATAGGTTAAAATAGCCATCTACCTCCAGGAGAGGCGATTTACAAACTATAGAATTGCGAATCGGAAATGTCCGTAAGATGCCACATCCGTAGCCTTTATAAAACGAAACTTATTGATTTCAAGATAATCAAAAAACGAATTCAATCTCCAGTCCAGAACGTGATCTTTAATAAAAGGAGAAAGCGTGTTCTGACCAGCCTCCAACACCTCGCCAAGTGAATTCTTATAAAATGAGATTTATGGGTCCACCTGCCCTTTATTACTGCCATTCACCAAGTTACTGAAGTTCATTATACAGTATAAATGACCTGTGTAAATCGATGCTCAGCTCCAGATCTTAGGTATATCGTTATCCAACATATTTTGCCCAAATACAGGCACTTAAAGCACTTATGTCTATAACATATCCCTTGGAATTTGCATTTATTGAGAGAAAAGGATCGTCATTTCATGAGGCTTCAGTTATGCGGGATCATCCAACGCAGCCCACACGCTCCTCTTCGAGAACCAAAGCCCGGAGAGACCTGCGCGACAAATCCCAAGCTGTCCAAATGGGGAAAATGGGCACGAGGAAGACCAAACCAACACAGGATAACTCAGGTATTATGGAAAAAAACACTGTCTCTTATGCTTCCCTCCTGAAGATTGTTTCGTGTTTCTTCCGGATTGACCGTGACCACTTCCCACTTGCCACCTTCCTTCCGTGCACGACTTGGATGCCTTTGGCCCGTTTTGGGAGCTCGAAATCCCTTGACCAGGCGTGGTGCTGCACGCGGTGGAGTGGAGGGAGTGAGGGGCCTGGCCAGTGCACAGCAGGATGGGGGAAGGTTCCTAGGGAGGTGATGTGTTGCCAGTTGCCAGGGCAGTGACTTGTTGTGAGTCTCATGCACAACATTTCATCATAGGAAGCCACAACAGAGTCGCGTCTTCGATGATCTTCGACATTTTTTCCTCTAGAGCCACGCAGCTCTTGGACAAGGGGTGGACCCTTCAAAGGGGCCCACCAGGGTGCAAAGTTGGGCGTATTTATGGCCAGAGTTGGAAAGGTCCGGAGCAGTAGTGGTCCCAACCGTGGTCTTTTACCAAAGATCATGATCAACAACGTCACATTGTCCTATTAAATAGGATATAATAGGCAGCGGATGGCAGCGGCTACTATGCCAATCTCAAATCCCCTGCACCCCACCAAGGGGTCTCAGCAGCCAAGGAACATCAAAGAGTATTTTAGCCTTTCAGTTCCTTTCCAACAGAACTCAAAAACCTGGCAACAAATAAAAAACACCCTGGTGGACGTTTGTGACGGGACATGGTTGTCAACCTTCAGCCATGTACGTCTCCGGGACCCTTCTGGATGGACCCGATGCCATGTTACCGAGCCGCCCGGCCAGTGCCCCCCGCGGTGAAACCGAGATCCCGCTGTGAGTGGAACGGGTGTGGCAAGAGTCCACGAGTCGCCCACCGGAGTCACCTGGACCTTCTTTCGTCCCTGGGCCTCCAACTTAATAGCGACCAACCATGTCAAGCTGCATGCGTTATATACCAATCACCTCCGTCATGGAGGGCAACCAACGATAGAAGAAAGACTTCCGACGTTACAAAGGCAACCTTTAACCTTCAACTTGCGCGACTTCGAGGTCTTGTTGAGTCTTGTGTTGCTCTCCCTCATCGTGATCCTTTGGGTTGCTATCTGGGTTGCTATCTGGGTGTCTCAAAGCACAGCCAAAAATGTCAAAACATGTAAAAACACTCAATTATCTACCATTTACCATCGTTTACCTCCTGTTCCCGAACAACATCGTCTGAATGTGTCTGTTCTACATCGTAAGCCAGGATCTCAGGCGCAGTTTGCGCAGCTGGAGGTGCAAACTGCAGCGCTCAGCGTTCAGAAGCGATTTGACCCATTGGGCACGGCATTGCGACGCGCCTCGATGAACTTCCACAGGTCATCTGCAGAAGATAACAACACTCAAGTAGAGCAATCAATAGAAAAGTGCCGTGCAAATGCCCCAGATTTGGGGTTCCCTTCGAGTTGTTGTCTGAATGTAATCCATAGTGCTCGTAATTTATGCTTTCCCCAGTTGGTGTGGAAGATTCACTGAGACTTGAAACCTCTGCAGGATTCTTCTAAGTCAAAGTCGGCCAACAAGCGCGTATAATCTGCTTGAGCCGACCCCGACCTGACAACGCGCGATGAGATCTACACAATGCCAGCCTTATCCGAGTTCCTCCCTCGGCGGAGGGCGCTTTGTACAAGCGAGTGAGCCCTCGTTGTCTGGGTGCAAGGCGTTCCGCCCAGACACGGGCGCAACATAATTTTGAGCACATGCACCATCTCAAATTTGCAAACAACAGGTCATTCTCAAGAACTGTTAACTGTTCACCGCCAAAGTTCATGGTGTGGTGTTGAGACATTGGCAAGCTCCAGGACAGAGTATCCACAAGAAGTGTCCAGTGCAATGAATTCAAGCTGCAAACGGCCTGGCATTTTCGGCCCAGCCCAGATGAAGCGGACCAGTGGGGATGATGGAAATCGGCCATGTGTCTCCACATCATCTGGGCCAAAAAAGCAAGTTCGGCCTTGCCAGGCTAACGGAATTAGGGGAAGCTGTTTCTGCTCCTTGTGGTCTCGACAAACCTGGTGCCAAAACAGCACATGGTGAGTGGTGCGGTTGAAGGGTTGCGTGTCCTCCTAGAGACTTTCCCACTTTGAATGGGCCCATTACCATTGCATTGTAGCCCTGCACTCATCCAGTTCAATCACATTGCACCCTGCACCCAAGTCCAACCATCTAGCATTCGCTGCAGTATTTTGTCTGGGGAGAAGTGACCAGCTTGCTTAGGTGATATTGGGGAGCAAATCGAGCAAATCCATGAAGATCTACTGTCTTTTGCTGATGTTGAATGAAGTTGGACTAGAAGTTGGATGATCTTGACATGCGACCCACGTCATTCATCTCCATTCCCGGCCCGACCTGGAGCTTTGAATCACACTGAACTCTTTCGCCCACTCCTCTCACGTGTCAATGAGGAGTACTGCACGCTGCCGCCCGGGCCCGGGCCCGGGCACAGACTCCTGGAAGGATCCGTTCGTCGTGCGGTGCTCTGTGTGCTTAGAGCTTTTGGAGGATGTGTGCTCTGTGTGCTTTTGGTATGTGTTGTGTATTTCTTCTTCATTAACTTAATGCCGTTGCTATCTGTTGCTGGGTTCCTGTACTGTAAGATTCTAAGATTCACAGCCGCGAAACATGGTGAAACATGGTGAAACTAGGCAGGCTAATGTCTTGTTTTTGGCTCCCCAGCGGCTCCTCTGCAATGTCTTCTTCCTGAGATTTGCACTCACCCAGATTCACCCAAATAGATCCACCCCAAGAAGAATAAACTTCCACGGGGAAACCATCAATTAAATTTGCACAAAATCGGCTCTGTAGACGAATGTCGTGCTACCAATTGTGAGTCCATGAGCCATGCCCGAGGCCGTTGCCTCTTGTTACAGCGACTGTTCGACCGACCTACTTCGGTCGAGGGTAGCTCGACCCAGATTCCGTTTCAAAGCCTCGACGGTAGACCTCGGTCGGCTGCGTTGCAGCTTTGGGTTCTGGCTCATGGTCTGGCCATTCGTCACAAAGGTTGATAAAGCGCTTGCGTGCCTGGGGCAGCTTTGAGCATCGGTCTTCCTATGTGCGTTGTTGCTCAAACCGGCATTCTTGCGAACAAAAGAGCGGGACTAAGAGCGGGATCTTGCATCTTGATGCATCTTGTTTCTTTTGCATGGTGCTGCCGCTAACGGAAATCCTCAACATTCCTTCAAAGCTTAATTTGATCATCCAAGGTTGGCCAAGACATTCACTGACCGATTCCTATAGTATAGTTGTGTCGGGCTTCTGCGCAACATGTCGAAAGCTACGCAAACCAAAACGCGTGCGGCACTGGTCTGGCCTCCAAGTATTCCTGCCAAGCTCTTAGCTCATCAACCTTGGCCATCATGGCTTCTCTGGCCTGTCGCTTCGGTCGTCTCCTCCCCCTTGGGTCCGGGTAGGAAGATGGTGGACCCGCACGGTAATCGGCGACATTCATACATGGATCCCAAGCCATGGCACATTTCAAACCCATGGCATACATGGCCCCCTATCTTCAAAAACAGAGCCCACACACACACACACACATCCGGCGGCAGGAGGCACCCAGCATGCCTGGGATTGGGAATGTTTGAGCTTCACGCCCATCTGCACATCCTTCCGGGGGATGAGCTGACACCGGCTGGCCACGTTCGGAGCCTGCAGGGCCTGCCGCACGGCGCGAGCGGTTGGGTCGCAAGTCCCTGGTCCAGGTCCAGGGGTTCTATTAGGACATTGGTATAGGTTATGAGGGCTTTCCCTCGTGATGGAAATGAAGCAGGAAATAAACCTAGCATAACCTAGCTGTTGCACCACCTGGTGAAGGAACTGCCATCTCCTGCTCGGTCTTTTGTCCGCAAAGGACAGCCCCGAGGACACACACGCACACCACCCCAAACGGCACCTCAGCACCTGGCAAAGCACCTCGGGCGGTGCAGTTTAACGTGACAAGTGTTGCGGAGACAAACGTGACATGACTTGAACAGGTCAACAGCAAATCATTGCTTCACCTGCAGGATGGAAAACAAACAGGAAAAAGCCATGAACATGGATGATGTATGACCTCTTGATCGAGGAGACTTGAAACTGGAATATATGAAACAGATTGTAAAGGACCTGGCACCCACGTTGATTGGTGGATGTTGGTGGTCATGGCGGTGGAGCCATAGAACCCCAATAGTACAGCACCAGGTTAGCCAATCTAGCCCAAGACCTCTGTACAGTATAATTACAGTAGTTGAATCGCATGTGTACAGCAGGGAGGCGGATGAGCTCACGAGACTCTGGGGCGCAGGAACATATACAACCCTGCCAAAACGGGTTGAGATATACAACCCAGATACCGACTGGTTGGATGATGAATCATGGCGATGTGGCCCTGCAGCTCCGAGCCAGGCAGCCAAGCAAGGCTGCGGCTAAGCGTGTGGGTGGTCTCCTATCTCTGAATCACTGCGCGAGCATTTTGAGACAAACAATCGGTATGTCCAAATTGTTTGGTGGACATGATGTGTAACTCGGGATAGATGTTCACGCTGCTATGCTGCCAAAGAGGCCCGGCAAATCGCTCCCTTGCGTTTCCACCGGCGGCTTTGGTGGGAACTCATGCACACGAGCCTCCACACACGGAAGGTCGACCATAAAGCCCGAAGCCCCGGGGCCCTGCCCGTTCCCTGGACAAAACAAAAGGATGACTTCTCGAAAATGTTGTTTGGCGCCAGTTCCAATGGACAGGACCCACCCAGTCCAACCACAGTTCTATCGCTTGCAGACTATGTTTGTCTAAACCACTGACTGGTTAGGTCACGATTTCAACCGGCATGCTCTCCCCCTCCCAGGACCGAAATATTTCGAGATAGATCAGCATTTTTGGGGCTAGGCGGCACAGTTAGTCGTCTCATGGAACATATGCCATGACTGCCTAGCCTCCTGGGAGTTGCCTGCTCAAATCTATCATGCTAACGCGGCAACCCCTAAACCACCACTGGATCAAATAAATAAAGGACTGCAGGCTCCGGAGAATCTGGTTCTGTCACCCTCTCCAATATGCTTCTGTGAGCACTACTGACCGAAATATATCAAAATTAAAATAATACATATAACTTTCCAACCGGAGCTGCCGCAGGTCGCCTTCAGCTCCGGGTGCTTCCGGTTGCTTCGGCGGCCTTGTGCACCAGTTGTCGTGGT